GATATTACCTCCTCCCGACCTGCAGATTTCAGAACTGTTCCAATTGGTTGCATGATGTCTGCTTTCATCAGATGCAAGGCTACGAAATCATCAGAAGCAAGGGATGAAAGAGCAGAGCAGGCTTGTTCAACCTGTAAAATGTTAAGCACAATCACAACCACCAAATAGCAGAAGAATAAATATAAATAATAATAAAAAAGTGATATCTAGGCCCATTAAAACATACCACATGACAGTTGTCACTACTTATCATGCTTATAAGCTGTCGCACTGCATTCTCATCTTTACCTACAAACACTCTATTTCCTTCGTCTTGCATTATCTTTCCTAGTGCAGATGCTAGTAAAGGATGATGACAAGAAGAAAAGCGGAATATAAGAGAGAAGAAGGCACTGAGTTTATGCCTAGATGCACCAAAATAAGAACTGTTTTCCATCTGCAATGACCATAAAAAGCAAGTTTAATTGAATATGTGATATGTTTCAAAAGAATAATGCCAGAAAAATAGTCTAGCTATAGCTGCTAGTTTGCAAAGTGCTACCTCTATTTGCACATTCACAGATCTCAAGTTTTCATCTGCCACAATCCTAATATTTGCAAGAGAAAGGTGACGAAGTTTGTGGAGGGGCAAAATTTCAGGAAGAAACTCAAGAGGATTTCCAAATAGCCTAAGAACCCGTAATTCAGCCATAGCCCTGCCATATTTGGTAACATTAAGACCAGAGGAATATATGGAGTCTAAACTAGTTTATACAAAATTGTCTAAACCCAAAACCTGAAGTCAAGAACTGGCCTAACAAGCTTGTTATGTTCCAATGACAACTCCACCAACTGCATACATTGTCTCAGTTCAGCTGCTCAAAAAAATAAAAATAAAAAATCAGATACAAGGGCTGTTTTTTACAAGAAACACTAATCTTGATACTTCATAAACTTGAGGAAATATCACAATAGTAAATACTACAGGGTTGAACATGGCATATGTGTGCTCCTCCAACCCACAAGATTGATCAAGTGCATTGGTGCAGTAAGTGGTGCTAGGACTTCCCATACCCAATGCAATCACACTTTCGAAGTTTTTGTTAAGTTGGGGAAGTTACATGCAATCTAACATTACGCATTACTTTCAAGTAGATCAGTCTGCTCTTGTTTACTGAGTATACTTATTAGAGGTTATAAAAATATTTCCACCTCCACCATGCACACTTGATAATAACTAGTTTACTATTATCCTCGTATTGTAGTAAGTCAGACAATTAAAAACTTACCGGGAACCGAGATAAGCATGTTGTTCTCAACCCTGAGCACTTTTAAGCTTCTTAGCTCACCAAGCTCAGGTGGCAAAACACTTAGCCTGTTGTTATCAAGAAAGAGTTTCTCAAGGTGTGGCAATTGCGTAAGCTCTACTGGAAGCACCTGTGCATAGTCATAATGTGTTTATAAGATCCCCAATCCACTCCACCAAAGTTATAAAATCCAACTCACTTCCCAAGCACAAACAAACAAAACATTTCATACGTGACAGTAGAACATAGTAGAGATAAAACAATCACTAACCAACTCCTTCCATATCAATCAAAGAATAAGCAACACTCACCGACAAGCCACAGCCGCAGAGACTGAGCACAGCGAGACTGGTCCAGTGGTTGCCGGAACAGGAAACGGCGGCGTCTCCAGCGTTGGGCGGCGTTGGGGAAGGCAAATCGGAGCGCAACAAGCGTATCAAAACACCAGTGCCGTCGCTTTGCTGACCAGAGGCAACAGCCTTGGCCATAGTAACCGCTCTGAGAGGCTCCCTCCGCTTAACTACCTTCATTCCCAAATCGACGAGGCTCTCGTCGTCCCGCGGCCTGAGCTCAACGACGACCGTGTCCTGCGGCATGGGCAGCGCCACCATGAGCTGCGACTGAAGCTTCAGCGCCACCTGATCCTCGTCCTCGGACGCGGACCAGTCCAATTCAATGCGAAAGCCGAGGTCCTGATCCTGCGAGAGGATTGAGGAAGTGGAGGCGGAGGAAGAGGAGGAGGAAGAGGAAGAGGAAGAGGAACCGGAGGAGGTTGAGGTGCGAGTGATATTCTCCGGCGGATCGTCGGTGCCATAGCTGAGAGTGAGGTGGAAGATCTCGGAAGGCCTCTTCCAACCCAATCCCCAGGACATTGTCGGTTATGTGATCCAGATTCAGGATTCAGGATTCAGGATTCAGGATTCAGGATTCAGTTACGTTGAATTGTTGAGAATTGACCTCTACCTTACGCTGCCGCATTCGGATTTCGGATCCGAACCCGATCGCTGCTGAATGCTGATTGATCCTTCAACAAATCTCGGAACACAGAACACGCATGTAATCGACTTTGCCACACGCTCAGAGAACACGAACCCAAGCTGTGTTACCCGTCAACCTTCATATATACATATCCCATAAAATTCAGGTTCACTGTCTTTTCTTTCTTTTCTTTCTTTCTTATTATTTTTTTTAAAAAAAATAATAATAATTAATGATAATCATTATTAATGCATATTGTACGATAATTCAAATATGTTTCCTATTAATTAATTAATTACGATATTTCATAAATGACAAGCTTGAAAAATACAATTTTGAAGTATTGAAGGAAGGCTACAAGGCTATTAAGTAGATTTGAAGGAAGAAACCGTGGCCGGCTATAGGCAAAGTGCAAACATTGGTAGAAAAGTAGAGAAGAACCTAACTTCTTTTTTTATTTGTTAGGAGATGTTTCAATGTCACGGGGGGCAGAGGCCAAATGAAGATAAAACTGCATTATTTTGCAGTAAGGTGGTGAGAAAACTCTTGTTTGAATTATTGTAAATTTAATTTTTCCCAACTTCATTTATGTAAATTTTATGTGGTTGAAAAAAGGATTTACAAGTGCTGATTTAGGTTTAAGGAATCCTATTGGCTTTATTGACTTTTATAGAGTATAAAAATTCACATAATCATTAAATAATGAATTTAGTTTAGAGATTTCACTTTTAAAAAATAAAGTATAATAATAACTGTTGATTAAAAAATTAATGATAAATATTATAATTAATTTTAAATTTATTATATATATATATATGATTTTATTAATTATAAATGGTTAATTTTTTAAAATACACTCTTTTACTTTAGATGAATTAAATATTTAAATAACATATTACCAAATTTCTTAATGAATTTTAACATATTAATAATGCGTTCAAATAGAATTATTCTTTTTTTTAATAACTTTTTTTATTGAACCACTTTAACCGTCACAAATAAAAAATACTGCTTGCAGTAGTTTTTGTTTTTCCAAACAAGTTCAACACGATATGTTCTTCCGCAACCGCAAGCCATGACTTTGACCGTACTTCTGTATTCTTCCGTTAACGACGGATTAGAGGTGAATATTCCAAATAAAAAGAGGGGGAAATATTGGCCGTCTGATTGGGAATTAATCACAATTCTATCGATCGGAGTAGGTTGGTATCAAGATAATAAAAAAGAGTTTGTTGGTATCCATTATTTACATATTTACACCTATAACAATATTAATAAAATATTTTTGATGAGCACATTATTAATGATTTGATTCTTACTACATTCACTCAACAATAAATAAATTGATTCTTACCACCAATTTTCTAAAAATATAAATTTAAAATTAATATAATAATTATTAAAAATCTTGAGAATAATGTATTAATAATATTTGAACCTCCTTAGCCCACGACCGATTGATTTATGCTAATCATCCATATGGTAACGGTGCTGATCTACTTTTTGCCAAGATTATAAACTAAATTCCTTTTTTAAAATAAAAAAAAACTACAAACTAATATATAAGACATAATTATCACAAGAGCAAAAGATAATCTACACCATAATTAGTTCCAATAAAAATAAATAAATAAACTGAAGATAAAAGATCACTCTAAATTAATGAGTAAAAGATAAAACAAAAACAATTATGTAAAGAGCAGAATTCATCAATCTCACTTTTATATTTTGGATAAAATTACCTTATATTTTATACTAAAACAAAATTAAAATAAGTGTTACATTTTCTTATACAAGATATCCACTCTTAATTTCAATTTTTTAAATTTCTAGTTTCTTAATTAATAACTTAATAATCCGATCTTAGTTCATATCCTTTTAACATACCAAAGAATTGGTAAAAAATAATTAATATATTAAATTCAATATTGAATCATTCGAATAGAACTCAAGTTCAATCCATAACAAAAATAATTTTTTGTTGGACTTTACCCACTTTTTAACCAAGTCAAATTAATTTAAGACAATAATTTAAACAATTTAAAATCACACATTGTCAAGTTCATTAAATGGTTCAATATTGAATTACACTATCTCTTTATCAAAATCAAACCCACAATCTAATTTTATTATAAAAAAAAACCACAATTACATGAAAATATTCAAAGTTATACAGCATATTCTTTTGTTAAAAAATAAATAATTCTTCAAATTGAATATTGTATATACTATATAGTATTTATTATACACTTTGAATAATTAAATGAAAATTTAATGATCGTAAATGTGAAAAAGTCCAAAGATGCCGTGCTTTAAAAAGGTTATTGGTGGGTGTCAAAAAAAAAAAAAAAAAAGGTTATTGGTCAACTGAGCTTGAGGGTGAAAAAAGATTGGACAAAGTATTGTAGTCAATTTATGTTACCTTTCATATCAACTTAACAGACGGTCCTTTACTGCTTAGGCTGTTTCGCCTACTTAATTGGGACGTTGGTTAGAAGCCTCCAAAGAAGTATTTTGATTTATAATGGACTAGTTCATAGCCGCCCATCTTAAGAGGTCAAATTTAAAATTAAAAATTTGGTCACAGGAGTCACTTGATCAGCATATACCTAATGACTTGACCATATCCAATTTCATCAACTTGAACCTTCTGGAGGAATCACTTGAATGACTGATTTAGGAAAAATATTTATCAAGGACCAATCCAATCTTCAACAAGGCACGGGTCCCAGAGTCAACCAACCATGTTAACTCATTCCTCTAATATAAAGGGGACAACCATAAGTTGTGTCCAGAATTGTAATAGCCGGTAAAAATTAAAAGTCATTTCATCTAATCTAAATACATACCACTATGAGTCCATTATGAAACTGTACTTACAGTTCCAGATTCTCTGCTCCTGAATTAAAAGTTTTTCTTAAATCCTCCTTTACTACATTATCGGCAAATGTAAACTCGACAGCATTCTTTGATAGCTCAAACATTTGCTTCCTTCCAAGGCCTATATAATAGCCAAACCAACAAGCAGTCAGCAAAGTTTAGCAATTAGTTTGAATTCCACTAGCTGCAAGAGAAAAGTGAAACCTACCAAATGAATCAGCAGCAATTTTGTATTCGTTGGAGAGACTAGTAGAAAATACACCCGAGTCATCGGTACACAGAACTAAAGGATGTTTTGCTTTATATAGATCAGCTGCATCAACAAAACCATGATGTTAAGAGAAACTGCATAAAGTTGATTCCCAGATCAAAGCCACAATATAAAATGGAATGACTTCAAGAGGGGAAAAAGAAAAGCTGAAAGCAAGTATCACTACTTTGTATTTCTGTTTCAAAACCAAAACTTGTAAGTATGCAACTACCCCAGAAAAGAAATTATTTTTTCATAGACCAAAAATAATTGCCTTTCCAAGAAGAACCACAGCTAATCAAAATACAAAGTCACTTTCAAGCCTATAAAATCTTGTGTAAAGTTGAACAAACAGCAAGGTTCTTTTATTATCCTATCCTGTGATAATCAACCTCAAAAATAAACAGAAGAACCTACCAAAATGATGTGCATCTATTGTTGGAACAGACAATGTCCTTATGTTTGATGTCAAACAAATTTCAACCTGAAAATCATGATGATATATAACTTAGCTTTTTATGAACTACAGCAGTTTATAAATTGGGAAGAGACAATATAATATGAAGCATTCAAACCTAGCGACAATCAGAAGCCCCCAAGGGACGATCAGTGAAAGCAAGAATTATGGGCTCCAGTTATTGCAGATCAAATCAAAATTTAAATTTGGTAGTTTTTTTTTTTAAAAAAAACTTTTAATTGATTGATTACCGACAAAGGACAACCAGGACATCTGCTTGTAACCACACAAATCATGATACACTACCATAATTTTTCTTTATCATTAATATGACTAAAGATAAGGTCTAGCAATGTCTAACCGGAATGTTTGAGGACTTCAGCCTTTTCCAGTGTTCCTCCTCAAAGAAACAAGCATGTCCAATCCTCTGCGGAAGAAAGTCAAGCATATCATGTATCTCCTTCGAGTTTGATACCTAAACACACAAAGTCAGAAAAACAAACCCACCAGAGAAACACCAAGAGTAAAAAGGTACAAGAAAAGATTAACACACTTCTCCACAGTGAAGAGTTACATAAAGACCTTGTTCTCGAGCAAATCTCAATGCTGGCAAATATGTAATCCTGCAAAAGATAAAATTGGGCTTAAGCATGGACTTCTAAAACTTAAAACAAATCACTACACTAGAGTCCAGGATCAAGCTGATATACCAGTCACCAACAGCTGGATTCCCAGAGAGGTCAATTCCAACCACCCCAAACTGCCTCATTTCCAGTGCAAGCATGACCTGCGGCAAAGAAGTGTTCAAAGGCAGTAACAAACAGACTTAACTTTTGCCCAAAAATAAATTTGCATTATAGCATACAGTTTCCATTGCCGCTTCTGTTGTCTCCCGACGGTCAATGCTCAAGAGAAGCCTAACAAAGATTCTTTTTCTAGGGTTTCCATAACAGTTTTCATTCACACCTGAGAGTAATGTACTTGAAAGGTTTCTAGGTTCCTCATTGTAAGGAATGAAAGCCACATCGACTGAACTTACAGCTCTTAGACCTTCCAATACAGCTTCTACATAAGAGCGTTTACTCATTCCTAGGGAATCATTTTTCTACACATAATTAAGAAAACACTTTCTTTATCAAGTCAATGGAAACAAGCACACAAAAAATAACCAACTGAGCTCCACATATTACCTTTGGAGTAGTTCTCAGCTCCAGATACACAACATTCTCAGATGCAAAATCTTCAACAACCTGCTTTTATAAGTTTGCTTGCATAAATACGAAGGTAATAAATTTGGAATAATAAAATACAGATGGTAGGCACAATGACATACTTCTTTGGTAATTCTGGTAATACTTGAGTGATCAGTCGTGACAATGTGGATTAAGTCAAACAACTTGAATACTTCACTTAATGAACGATCATCTGTATTTAATAGCCATAATCAGATTTAAGCTTTAAAACAGAACTATAGGGAAATAAGGGTCATTAAAAGTGAATTCTGAAAGAAGATAAAAAGAGAGGAGTAAGACCTGCTTGACAGCATATTCAAAAATTTTGAATTTAAGGAACAGTTCAATAAAGAGCGGTTTTTTTTTTTTTTTTT